GAAGTGATAACTTATACTGTCCTGTTGTCAATGCTGCTGACAAATTCTTCCTGTTAGACCTCCAAAGCTCAGCTCATTGTATCTCACAGTTCTGCTGGCATCACAGGAATGATTCCTCCTATTTGATTTCAGAGGTCTTTTGGAAATGAACTGCTCAACCTGAAAATAAATGTCTATAAAGTAATATCCAAGCTGCTTGTGAGCTTTTAATTTTGTAAGATGTAATATTAAATAGAACTTCACTGCTATCGTGCTAGAGAGGTTTTAGCAATGTGATTATCTGGCCTTTCACAAGAGGAAGCAAATATAAATTACATAGCTACTTAAGCAACCTTTAAGTATATGCTCCACAATTCTTCATTTTGCATGAGAAATGAAGAGTAAGTTGCTAATGGTTAAGCAGCTGGAAAAGGTGGAAGTGGATTTTTGGTAAAATAGAAGCGTGATGGGCCAAGTTGCTTGTTTTTCAGTTTTGTAATGCATGAGGCAGGCTTAATGTTGATAATAATTTTATATGGAATTGTAGTAATGTGTATTATTATAGCATGTGCCTAATGGCTCTACTGCTTTCTTGTCAGGTGATATGAAGGACGACACGACTGACCTACAAGTGAATGGGAACGCTGGGCATTATCCTCTGGATGTTGAAGAGGTTGAGGAAGACTCTAGCGCGCAGCTTAACATGCGTGGAGTTTTTCTGCATGTTTTTGGAGATGCCTTAGGTTCAGTAATTGTCGTAGTGAATGCCTTGCTCTTTTATGGTTTGTGGAATCCATGCCCCAAAGATGGGCCCTGCTTTAATCCGTGTGTCAATAGCCATTGTGTGGAGAATGCTACTTTATCCCAACCTCTTGGCAGTGTAAACAAGTCTGAGCAAGAGAGCATTACGGTGGCTGGTCCATGCTGGTTACTATATTTAGACCCTGTTCTTTGTTTGATTATGGTTTGTATCCTACTTTACACAACTTACCCGTTGCTTAGGGAGTCAGCCCTTATACTTCTGCAGACTGTTCCCAAACAAATAGATGTTCATTCTTTGAACTCAAAATTACGTACCCTTGAAGGAGTTGAAGCGGTGCATGAATTACACATTTGGCAGCTAGCAGGCAGTAGGATCATTGGCACGGCTCACATAAAGTGTCCTGACCCTTCTACGTACATGATGGTGGCAAAGCGCATAAAAGAGATCTTTCACGATGAAGGGATTCATGCAACTACCATCCAGCCCGAGTTTGCCAGTGTTGGCTCTGAATCAGGGAGAGGGAAATGCGAGTTTCCTTGCAGAACTCAGTGTGCTTTGAAGCAATGTTGTGGAACGATAGAAGATAATACTGGAAAGAAGACAGAAAAATCTTCTTCGCTTAGTATTTCTTGTTCAGAGGTTGTCATTGAATTTCCACACCACAAAACTAGAAGGACTAAATCGGAGAGTGTACCTGCGGTTAAGCTAGAGGCAAACACCGATCAAAACGAGCAGTTTGAATCATCTTTGTAACTCCCTGAATGGTGCTACCTGAGTTTTGGTGACTTGGACAACAGCTGTGTTGCAAGGGGAAGAGACAGATGTTTGAGATGCATTTTGCCAATTAGTGTAATTGCTGAGGTCCTTGTTCTTGTCATATTGCTAAATCTAGAATGCTTGTTCTAAAGAACATGATGTCACTGTCATACAACGTTTCTGTTGACTTCCTAGTGAGACAGACAGAAAGTGCACCGATGCTGTAACAACTTCAGAAAAACAGTTTCAACATTTCAGCTGAGACACTTTTTGTTGTGCTTCAAATTATTATTATTATTTTTTTTTTTCAATTAAAAGATACTTGAGGGATAAGCATATAGGAACTCAACTTGTGTTACAGATCTCTTGGACCTGCTTTTTCCTTTAATATTTGATTTGTAGATATTTTAATATATTGTTTATTTAGAAGCCCTAAGGAAACCAAAGTTGATAGAACATTTTTAAAGATATAACTACTTAAAACTGGAAACCACTTTGTCAGTTTCACGTATTTTTCTTAATCTTATGTAATAAAAAATGTGAAGGTTTTTCTTACAAATATATCACATAGCATATTTTTAAGGAGACGTCAAGTGATTGTGAGAACATCCCCATCTTTTCTGGTAAGGTAGTGAGGTAATTAAAATCAACGACCTGTGAAAATATCAGATGTGAAAGGGTTTTGGTTTTGCTTTTTTTTTTTTGCTCAAAATGAAAGTTCAAGCTACTGTATACTGTGTGTGATCAGGATGTGAGAATGGCAGATAAAGTAATGCCTACTTTAATATGTTACAGATTTTCTGGTGTTTTTCATTATTTCCAAGTTGCGTATCACCATAGAAGTCTTTGAGCTTAAGGAAGCCTTGACTCTGCCATGAATGAAGAGCTGGAGCTTCAGCTTTAACTGATGCTGAGTTTACTAAGAGAATTTAGTTGTGTCAGTAAGAGCTCTGTCAGGGGGAAGTTTGTCAAGCTCTGACAGTAAAACCAATGCTTTTCAAAAGCTTTGGCATAGCCTCCATGAACAGTAATCCAGTGAGGCATTTTGCATGTAGTTAAGTCTGTCTGCAAGCACTTGCAGTGGCTGTGCTCCTGGTCTCTGCAGCATCCTTGGGAGTGTCCATCTGGTTTCTGCTAAAGTGTATGGGGGGAGCAGGATTTCATTCACTGTACTTTATTTTGTAAAATGTGTATCACATAATTTCAGTTAAGGAGTATCTGATTCTTTGCTTTTGAATGTTAAATCAGTTAATTGACAGCTGGCTGTAAAGAAGCTGTTACAGTGTGCTGCCAAACTTACACCTTCACAGGAGAAGCTGATCTGTGGACTCTGAATCTGGCGGAGACTAGGTGAGAGTTGAAGATAAAAGGAATCTAATCTAAAACCCTGACCCTCTTGATCCACCTGTGAGTTGTGTATGGGGAATAATGCCTGGTCATTAATCGACTGCTCCTGTGCTCCAAACTGGAAAGCCGCTCACATCTTCCATTGTTTGCTGTATGACTCTGGGCATGTCGGATAAACACTCTGCCTCGGTTTCCCTGTCTTAACATGGGAATAATACCTACCTCACAGGGGTGTTGTGAGGCTCAACTCTTGCGTGATGAATTCTGAGATCTGTTACTGGAAGGCGCTGGAAGGAGTGTGGGATACTAAACTGCGTTAGTGTTAGCTCCTTCAAATGTATTACAATACCCAGGCACAACAGAGGGAACCGAGGATAGTTTTGGCCTTACAAAATTCTTTGATGCTATGGTTTTCAGGTTTTCAACAGTATTTAAGTACAGGTTTTTTAAAAGAATGTTTTGTTAGCGAAGGGAATGTAGCTTTGCCTTCAGATACAGAACACTTTGCTAGTTTGCATTTCCAATACGCATCTTGTATGCTAATTGCTCATAAGTAGTTTGGAATAGTCTGCTGCTCATCAGTCCTGGGTTGTGTCAGTAGTCTTACCCAACCTCTCAGTGGAGCATTGCAGTCAACTCTCGATTATCCATGGGTGGATGACCAGTGTTGTGTGCTGGCTGTGCAGTCTGCATGGCCAGGCTAGCTGTAGCGAATGCCGGTGTGGTGCCACGTGTCAATGCACGGGAGAAGTAGCGGGGCTTAGCCCAGCTCGGGGCAGTGGTGCTTCCCAGCATCACTGAGCGTGCTCTGTGTTTCTGCTTGTATAGTTTGATGAACTAACTTAAATATGTTAATATAGTATTTATATATGGTTTTGTTCTGTCTGAATTAGCTTAATCCTTTCTCGTGTTACCTGTATATGATCTAGAGTTGACTGTTATGAGATCTTGTATGAGACTACGTTTGCAAAATATGCTACTACTGCTAGTATACTACAAAGTATTATCCAAGTAAATTTTGAAATGAACAAAGTGCTATTTTTATTTTTTTTTTTTTGAAATGTGTATTCTTGCTTTCTATGGTAAACTTTTAGTAATTATTTTGCTTGCTAGTTTAAAATTGGTCTCAGTCATTAGTATGAATTATTGAGGTCCTGCTGTGTATCACTAATGCACCGTAGAACTACTGCTCTTAGATTTATTTTGAAAAAGGAAAACACCAAAAAAAACATGCAGAGGGACTATAGTAGCCCTGACAAGTCCAACGTCTCTCCTGTTGCTTTTATAAAAAGAGAGCAACGGTTAAGTCATGCCCGTTGCCACCATTGGTTAACAGTTTCAGTAAATGCACCCAAATAGATGAAATTGTGGTCACTAATTCCACTGTAACTATTTAATCTTTTTGTGCCAGAAGTCATATTTTTCTAGTACTGTGTCCATTGCAGGCAATGGCTAGCTTAAAAGACACAAAGCTCTCCTCCACATTATTTTTATTACCAGGACAGGACGTGAATGTGATGCTGAAGATGCTGATGCTGACAGGGGGCACAGGGAGCTGCACAGCCTCTTTGTCCTGTGGCATGTTGCGTGTTCAGCACCAGCTGCTGGGAACGGGGCCCTTCAGTCTCTTTAGCTTGATTCCTTCCCTGGAAGTACAAGGCTGGCCAGCTGGCCATACTGCAGCACGAACACTGTGTTTGTGCTTATTCTGGCTGTGTTAGACCCAACAAGACAGCTGACCTGCCTGTGGTTACTCGGACCAGATTTATTCTGAAAATCATAGTTCCAGAATACCGAGAGCCTCCAAAGACACTGCACAGTCTGTCCTTTTTTTTCCCGCAAAGCACAAAACTAGTGAATCTCCTGTAAGTGAGCACTGCAGTGGTGGGGAGCTAATTGTATTGTGTATCACATTCCTGAATTTTTTAAATAATAATTAAAAAAAACAGCTATGGAACACTGATTTTAAGGAAAAATAAGTTTGTATTTCAGTGTCTAGATTGTTTATGCTTCTGATTAAATGTTAGAAATGTGCCAAACACCGCTGGTTGAAATATTTTCTGTTTAGTACGTCTCATCCAGAAACACACTGCTTGGAATTATCACTTAGCCCATACCGGTGCTGAGATGCAGGGGTGATGCAGATCCTTGGGGGCTGGTCACAGTATTGCTTTGCACAGGCTACTTTAGTGGAGCAGATTGCTTATGTGGAGCTCCTTGTAATAATTTAGCTGCTTGCTTTCAGCATCTTCTGTAGGCTTTTGGTAGTATCCTTTATTGCTGCCCTGTGGAGTTCAGTACAGACAGACACATACTTATGTAAAAAGCAAAACTAGCTCCAACTTGTGACTCCCTGAAAGTCATGGCAAGGGCTCAGTCCTGCAAATTTCTGTGTTCAAGAATAGTTTCATCGGGCTGACGAGTAGCTACTTGCATGCAAGGAATTACTTGCAGGAGTGAGCCCAGAGCTCCTGCCAGTGCAGCCTGCCTCCTGGAGAACTGCAGGTACTCGTATTTTTGGGCTGTTTTACAATTGGTAGCGTTGTGATTCTCAGTGTGCTGCAGAAATGAATTTGTTGCAATTTCCAGAGCTTATCCCAGGGCTTATTTATTTTTTCCACTCTCCAAAAAGAAAGAAAAACCTGACGAGTGTCCTCAGGCTTGCTAACAAATTTAGCTGAACGGATGTTGCTTTGTGCTTCTGAAATGGGGCTGCCCGAGTTTATTAAACACTGACTGGTAGAGTTTGAGGCAGAGGGATAAAGATTCCTGCCATTCCCCTGACCCTGCCCCCTGCTCTGCTTGCACTCCCTAATCTCTTCAGCTATGGAGAGAGTGGGGGACAGAGAGGCTGGATGTTCTGAGTTCCACACGGGGGGAATGGGGAATACTGCTAACTATTTTTAAAAGCATTTAAACATGCTCTGCCTATTTTAGTTCCATAGCATGGCATCAACTACTCCCTTTTTGGATATGTATGTAAGTTGTTTAGCTCTGTATTAATTTTGGCTTTTTCTCTGCAAGACGGAAAGAGGCGGATGCTCCATGTGCCTGAGCTAGAGGCAGTCTTGACAGTTTTCCAAATCAAATGTAGCTTTGCTGATAACAGGCGGTCTGATTATCCCTTGTAACCTTTGCTCTGTGTGGTTAACTGCCTCTGAAGTACAGTAGCAGGTTTTAGCAGGCTCCTGTCTGTATTTTTTTGCGTTCACAGTGTTACCTAAATAGTTGAAGAGCAAAACCACAATACTGAAAAATGAAGTTTTATCTATGTCTCCAAAAAGCACATGGGATTCATTTGGCTTTTTTTTTTTTTTTTTTTTCCCCCCCTATGTCCTGGATCTTGTTTCTGAGCAGTGCTAGAATATAATTGGCATAACCAGATTTCATTGCTGAAATTTCTTTTGGGCTTCTTTGAAAATAAATGCAAATTTTTTTTTAAAGTATTAAAGTCTTGAGAAAATAAATGGAGCTTTTGAATGTCAAGAACTGTTAGTTGGGATTTCTTTCTTAAGCCAGTCCCTTAGAAGACATCTGACAAGCAGAAAGGCACTTTCACGGCTGCTGAGAATCTTGGGAACAAGTACAAAGTGCACGAGTGGAGCAAGAGTTAATAAGTGGGCTGTAAAGTGATGCCCTCCAACTCCACTGCCAGGTGCAATTAAAAGAATAGCTGCTGATGCCACGTGGAGAATTAATTGCATGTATGCAAAATGCACTTTTTTAGCCTTTGAAAAGAATTAGAAAAAAAATGCTGACCTATTAGCTGGCAGTGGTTAAATATCTAGTGTTTAGGTCAATAAGGTAGGATTGCTAATAGATGTCTATCTCACTTTATTTGATTTCCAAGACTTTGGAACATAGACTTTGGAAGGTGCTTAGTTGTTTTTCAGCTTCATTTCTTTCAATCTGGAAGCACTGCAGCTTCTCAAATACATTGAGAGAAAAGTACTGGCTGCACAAGATGCAGCTGCCAGCAATAATATGGAGGGGGCAGGATTGCAATTAGGACCTGCCTGTAGCTGTTCATGGGCTTGCAGTGATGCATTTGTTTTGGAGCTTGTAGTTCAACTTTGGAGCTCTTCTTTGCTTCAAGAGGGAGAAGTGGTTCTGTTGTTAGTTATACACACAGGAAGATGTGTTTGGTTGTACTGTAAGCACTGCAGTTGAGTATGAATTCAACCGTTTCCCAAAGCTATTTCTACCCCATCATGAAATGCAATTTGTCCTTGGTAGGAACATCCTCCCTTCGCATGCTAATATGTGAATTTTTAATTCAGTGGAGAGGAGAAGCCTCAGGCCTATGGCGTGAGCTTTTAGAAGTGTCTTCCTTCACCTATGCTGTTCCCACACCACATTCTCCCAGAACAGCCCCTCAGTGTGCTGCAGAGGTGATGTGCTGTGGGAACGTCTGGCTGCAAGCAGCTGCAGAAGGAGCCTGCACCCCAACCCCGTCTGTCCCACACCCACCTGAAGCCCTCACCACTGAAACTTGGGTTAGCTGTCACAGATAGCTTTTTTGGTAGGATGATTAGGGTTTTTTTGTTTGTTTGTTTGTTTAGCATAACGACACAGCCTTTAAAATAGCGCTCACACCGAACTGCAATCCCCCACCTCACACACGCTGTTTCTCATTGCCGCCTTCACGTGCCCCCCAGCCTTTTCCTCACACCAGCCAGCGAGGCTAAGAATAGCGGCAGTGATGCTGTGGAGCAGGATGTGCAACCTGCTGAGTTTCCTGCGTTTGTGCTGCGCTGCTGGCCTGTGCTGAGCCCCTTCTGCTCTGCCCTCCCCTCTGGAGCCGCCGGATGGATCTGTAACCCGGATTCGGCTTTACTGATGGCTGTGATGCTGCCTTGTCACGCCGGTAGCTGAGGTGCGGTGCAAAAGCTCCCTCGGGCCCTGTCGCTGTCACACAGAGCAGAGCTCAGCGCTGCCCTCTGCTCCCTGTGAGGAGCTGCAGGCGCCATCAGGCCTCCCCTCAGCTCCTTTGCACTGGGCTGAGCAAACCCAGGCTTCTCAGCAGCTCCTCACACACCTTGCCCTCCAGACTCCTCATCATCTTCATAGCCCTCCTTTGGACACTCTCTAATAGCTTTTTGTCTTGCAGTGTGGCACCCAAACCAGAACCCAGTGCTGGAGGTGAGGCCTCACAGCACAGAGCGCAGAGAACAGCCCCTCCCCTCACCCCCTGGCAGTGCTGGGCCTGGGGCATCCCGTGGCATAGTTGGCCCTTTGGGCTGCCATGGCACACTGCTGGCTCATATTTAACTTGCCAGAACACCCACATCCCTTTCTACAAGGCTCTCTCCAGTCTCTTGCCTCCTGCTCTATATATACAAAATGCATGTTCTAAATACTCGTAGCAGTTGAGTTCCTGTGCTTTTATGCCATGCTACTTTGAAGGAATTTGCACTTCTTCTCACATTGAGGTTCAAAAATATTAAAAAAAAAAAAAAGAAAAGAAAAGAAGGAAAGAAAAAAAAAGAAGGAATTGTGCTTGATGATTACAGGCACTATTAGCCAACTACTGCAGCCATGTTCGCAGTTTCTCTGCAAATCTCCCCGCACATCATAGGTGCGTGGCAGGGATTTCAAGTGGGCAAACTGTCGCAGACCAGGAGGTGTTTGGTCCATATGCTTCAGCTGGGAGGTGGGATGTCACTTGGCATTGTAATGTCCCAGTTTTCTTTTCTCAAGGATTAGGAAAAGTACAGAAACCAAATGCTGAGGCAGACTCTGTGGGCAGAGCCCTGTTAAGGCCTGCTTACGTCAAGCGGAGAGTGGGGCGTTGCTGGCTGCAAGTCACAGCTCAGAGGGTGCCGAAGGCAGACGTATTGTTTAAAACCTCAATAACATTATCTGAAGGCTTTTGAAATTATGGCACCAATGGAGAAAAAACTGCATGTGCGGATTTTGCTTTTGGACTGCTTACCTTTTTTGTTTGTTTGTTTGCTTTTCCTGCAACTATTCAGTGAGAGTAGTGATGTTCTCTGTTTTCCCCCTCCAGCTCTGCAGTGTGTCTCAGCCTCCTGCTGTGAGACCTGAGAAGGCAGCCAGGATCACCTTAGCTGTTACATCAGGAGAGGACAGCGCAGAGTACTGACCTCAGCTCCTGCTGTAGAAACAGAGTGGAAAATCAGGTAACAGAATTATGGTTTCACACTTCAGTGTATGAAAAGCAGCCTCTATGAAAAGACTGGAAAACTCTGTGTCTTTGTACTGAAGTTTTCTTGCTTAAAACCCTGACAGAATGATATTTCTCCCAATCACCTGAGGTAAAGTAAAATGCACATTATGCAATGTGGAGTTCCCCTTTCGAAACAGCAGTTTGGGGACAAAGTCATCGGTCTGGGCTAGGACAGAATCGCTTACACAAGATAAACAAGGGCGGACTGCTGCCATCCTTCCCTTCCCCTTTATCTTTAAACCTTAACCTTAAATTACAAATCAGTGGTTGACACAGTGCTGTGCATCTGCAACTACTGAAGGCTGCTAAATTTTAATAGATCTTACTTCAGTGATGATGAAGGTTGGAAAGTTTCTCTAGCTCACAGAAATGCTTCCAAGCTTTTAAAGTTCAAATGCAAATATTTTAACATATTACTAAGGATGTTTTCAAATTAAATAATTAGTTCTGTTTACGTGGTGTTTCATTATCAACAAAAAAATGATTTACTAGTTCTGTATCTTTGTTTCTAATCCAAGTAGATAGGTAGAAATAACTTCATTTTCAAAATCTTGTTAAATTTTTGTGGGCACAATGTTTCTTTAAACATCAACTATAACAACAGTAGCTTTCGGTCACGATACTGGAGCCACCTCAATAATACTGACAACAAGTCACTCACAAGTGCTTCAGCAGCATGCAGAACAAGAGCACAGGGATCAGAGCAATGGAACAGGCTGGAATACCATTTTCCTTGGATTTCTAAGGAATAGATTTCTGCAGCTTTCATAGAAAAAAGATGACTGCTCCAAAGTGGCATTTTTGCTTGTACTTAGTATCCAGCAGAACAAACTCATCAAGGTGCTGATGACTTCAGACAAAGCAGATAATGTCCCAGGACTGGTTTATCCAGATGGGGAAAGTATTGTAGAGATCAGTGAATAGCATGATAGATGCTCGTCTGGTTTTCAAGGAGAGCACCTCATCCAGGCCAGCTGTGTTGGAGGCCATGCGCTGGCAGTTGTGTCCATGGTGTTAGGTTTGGTTCTGAAGATTGGGTGAGCTTAATTACCAGCATCTTGAGCATTTGTTAAGAAAGTTTTGTTTGTTGTTTATCTTTTTTTCTTCTTTTTCTAAGTGTGATTAATCTCAGAGTCACTCCTATTTAAGACAAAAAAAAACTTAAGATTCAGTGAAATTTCAGAGGCACTTCATTTGATAGATCCAAGCTGCTAATTGAATCAGTTAGATAGGATGGTAATGGTTATCATAGAGCTCCTTTGATTATGTTTTCCGTCTCCTGTCCATGTTTTCCATCTCTGGGTCTTACAAACATGAGAACCTGCCCTGGTGCAGCGCTGGGAGCTCCAACAGACATGAGAAGAGCTCTTTGCCCATAGCCTGCCTGTCAGTCTTGCCTCAGCTGCCTTCATCCCCTGTAAGTCGCTAGTCTCTCTGAGGCTGGGAAAAGTGAGCACCCACCTTTAGGTAACTGTCTCATTTATTTCCATAGGAGCTTCAGGTCTCTCAAGAGATTAATATTTTTTGTAAGGTGAAACAGGAGATAGGAATGAGACTGGGCTTGTGGAAATCTGTAGAGGTAATATATTTTCTATAAAATAAAACTGTACCTCAAGGCAGAAAGACAGCTAGAATTATGTTGTGTCCTTCTTTAACAGAATGATACTATCTCCTTCTTTAGCAGCAGTCAGGCTGGGGTGCAGAAGGAGAGTCTGTATGCGGTTGCTGTTTAGTTTTTTCCTTTTCCATTTTGCATAACTCCGTAGAATGCTGGAAACAGACCTCTGCTGACTTTTGATTATTATGAAACAGAGCAGTCCTGGAAAGAAACTGGGGTCTGAAAACACATCAGGGCAATGGGCAAGTCAATAAATACAGTGTTGTTACCTGTCGCTGTGGCCTTCACAAGCTCACTACTTGAACTGTTGTATACAAGGGAGGGGCTGCCAGACCTTTCCAGTGGGAGCTTTCTGCATTGTGAGATGCTTTTACCTCTTGCATCTTGAGGCTGTTCAGCTAAAGCAAGCTTGGAGTGACATCAAGGTGGGTTACTGCATGGGTCTGTGGGGGGGAAGCAGTTTGTCTCGAGGATTTTCCTCTTTTTGTACTCTGCAATGTCCAGAAAAGTCAAGAAAAAACTAAACACCAAAATGATGTGGTTTTAGTTTTCATTTGGCCAAAATGTTATTCTCTCATGGGCTGTAGAGAGGAGATTTAAGCAACTGTCTCAGATAAAAATCACTGGAGCACAACTGAGGATTTCCACCACCTCTAAGGCAGTAAGCGTATACCAACCACAAGCAGCCAGTGGTATTTTGGTTCATTTTAAGCAGGCCTAAGTAAGGACCAAAGCAACTGCATAAACACTGAGCCCCATACAGTGTCTTGCCACCTGTTTGTGTGATTTCTTTAGCCCGTTCACTCATATATATATATTGTGTATATATATATATATATATACATTTTTTTTTTTTTTTTTTCTGGAAGCTAAGGATGCTTGCCATGCTGAAAATACTCTTGGTTTGGTTTTGAGCTCGGACAAAGTTCTTCCAAAATGCTTCTATGGTGATAAAATTTCTGACTTCTTTATTTTTTACTTCAGTGTGGCAGGGAGTGAAATACAGTGGTAGGGATATATGTGGGTTTGGTAGCTTCCTTCCTGCCTCCATCTGTTTGCTTGTGTCAGGCTGCATGGGGATTGTCCAGGAAATCATAGAATCACAGAACAGTTTGAGTTGGAGGGGATCTCAAAGCCCACTCAGCCTCAGCCCCCAGCTGTGGGCAGGGCTGCACCCCGCTCAGCTGCCCAGGGCCCCATCCAACCTGGCCTTGAGCACTCCAGGGATGTGGCATCACAGCTTCTCTGGGCAGCTGTGCCAGGGCCTCACTGCCATCTCAGTGAAAAACTTCCAGACATTTTATCTAAATCTCTCATCTTTTAGTTCAAAACTGTGCCCTCTTCTTCCATCACTATATTGCTGTTCTCTTGGAGAAAACAACAATAGCAACAAAAAAACCCTACAAATAAGCACAGTTGGATTTGTAGCAAGGGTGCATCTTCCATGGTGAAACTCGGAAGCACAGCCATGATCTAGGTCATCCAGAGCTGTGAACAAGTGGCCAGTTTGCTTTGTGTGCTTTCAGCTTCTAGTCCTTTTCCTAATATCAACACAAGAGCAGGAAAGAGAACCTGCCTACTCCTCCAGATTTTGAAACTGTCAGTGCAAACACGTCATGAGCCTGTGGTGCTTTCACTGTTTTTATTTCTGTAAGATGCTTTCAGTTTCAGAAATGTTTTGTAAAAAACTTGCCTCCAAACCACTTTTGGAAAGTTTGTTTCCCGTGTTATCCCTGACATTCCAAGTTCAAATTCTTTTGGTGTTTTGAGCAAAACAAAGCATTTTGACCCCAATAGCTTTTGCTGAAGACTTTCTGAGCTGCAAACAGGCAAGGAAATGTTACTGGCCCTGCATTCATGAGACCCCATCCAGGAATGAGAGAATGAACCCTACAAATGCAGCTCAATGGGAGAAATGAAATCTTGCAACTGAACTGGAGTATTATGCGTATTAGCACACAAATTACTCTCTAAATGATAAACACTGAACCAAATAAACATCCAAAGCTCTAGGGGGGAATTATCAGTAAGGCCAGGCTGGTAAAAAGCAATTTTTTTTTTCTGTAAAATACAAACGAAACAACATCTTTCTGAAAACACAACTTGTCCATGGCCACTGACTAGCCAGGCTAAGTAACAGCACTTCTTTCTGAAATAGGGGTGGCACATTATGCATTCTTTCCTTTAAATTAGAAAAATCAAGACCTTGAGGAACGCCTAGCAGCTTTCTGAAAGCTGCTGCAGAAAAGCACAGAGGTGCTGGCTCCCATCCTTGTCTCCCCTGCATATTCTCACACTCAATCTCCTGGGCTGCACAGCATCAGCGTGAAGGTTTGTGGCACACTGAATGGCAGCTGATCACTCAAGGAGTATCTATGCCACCGTACGATGCAGTTTTGCCAAATGAAACCACTGCTGCCACATGCATCAGGCTGAAATGCCTGAGTGGTTGCTGCTGGTGGAGAAATCTATTTTTCAGCAGTCCAACAGGAGGCCACGTGCTTTGAAACAAGGGTGGGAGCTGCTTTCCTCTTGGGCAGCCAGGAAGGCACCAGCTCTGAGCACCTGAGGTCTGCCCATGGGGTTTGGGCTTGGGGCCATACGTTGTGTCACTTGTGGAAAGGGGATGAGGTGATCAGGAGCTGCTGAAAACCACACACCAGTGAATGTGGCCAAGCTGTCAATATCTCTTCTCAACTACTAAATATTCTTGGCTTTTAAACTATGAGGTGCTCTCCAAGAAGCGGATCCTGGAGGCCACAAAAGTGCCTCGTGTCTGGCTGCATCAGGCACCAGCCCTGCCAAAATCTGTGCTGTTGAAAGAAATAGGAGGGGTGCCTTGTTTGTTGCTCTCTGCCACCAGCTCTGTTGCTCCATCCTGCAGTAGGCAGGGCACCAGCCAAAAACCTTGCCTGGCCTCATGTAGGTGTCCTGGGTGTTGCAGACATGGCAATATGTGAGCTGATGGATGTGGGATACATCTGACCCTGTGAGAATAGCAGAAACACCCCACTCAAAATTATGGAACCAATGGGTGTTTTGTGTTGGAAAGGATCTTTCAAGGCACCATCCGGTCTGAGTCCCCAGCCATGAGCAGGGCTGCCCTCCCCCCCAGCTCAGGCTGCCCAAGGCTTCATCCAACTTGACCTTGAGCACCTCCAGAGATGGGGCACCACAGCTTCTCTGGGCAGCTGTGCCAGGGTCTCAATGCCCTCTGAGTAAAGAGTTTATTTCTTATACCTAATATAAAGCTACCTTTAGGGGGTAAGCGTGAAATCTCAGGCTGGACCTGATCACCCTGACACCCATTCCCATGACAACAAACTTGAAATGCC